AAATAAATAAATTAAGATAAAGATAAAGAAAAGCAAGCAGGTCAGACAAAATTATGCCTCAAGAATTTTAAATTCATGAGAAAGAAAAACTAATTTCTTCTTCATACATCTAATTGAATCATCATTCTGCCACTTTTCATTAATCTAATTTCGATTTAAAAATTGATTTGTTTGTCTCCCTAATTTCAAAAAAAATGAAGCATTTTACAAAGTTATTGTTCATTGATTTCAAAATAAAACAAACCCAATTAAAAGATCAATAACAAAAGCTATTGATTTGGTCTTTTAATGGGATTTAAGAAAAATGAAATCAAAGACAAATTAGAAATGTTTCAAAAGAAAAGAAATAGGGAGTAAGATCTCAAAGAGAAACCCTAAGAGAACTCAAAAGTTTCATATTGCGTTGCAATGACTCAAAACGCTTTCATTGGGTTTGAAAGGCGATCTTAAGGGCTACGCTTTAAAGATTATAAACCAAATAAACTACAGCAGAAACTTAACAACTAATCAACTATTACATATAAAACTTCTGCCATTAATTTGTAAGAGAGAAAAGAAAGAGAGGTGATGAAGTTGGGTGGATTGGAGAAGAAACCCTAGCTGAAATTATATAGACCTTGTTACTTTTTGAGATGACGGTTGAGTCCTCATGTATATTTTATAATGACGTATATATCCTCAAATGCAAATGGACTTCCTAATGTTGTTGGGCTCAAAAACAAGATCCATGATCTCGAAAATCCACCAGCTTTGTAAACACACCTGCAAGCCAGGACACTGTGTACTTGCACACAATCTAGCCATGTGCATATAGTTCTCTCCAAGATATGGAGTTCAATAGAAACGTGTGACAACGGCTAATACGAAATTATACAAGTAGACTTGTTGAAAGCATCCAAATCTTGAGATTGGAGATCATGAACATACAATATATCTAGTGGAATTATGATTTGACACAATACTGTATATGATAACAATCAGATTTCTCTCTGACAAATGGCAACAACAGGTTAATGGCATATACATGATGTGAACAATTTTCTTTTCTAAAGTGTACATTTATCACCAATCATCTTCGAGACTGGCACGATGAAAACACAAAACTGTGCAAACAAGAATGAAGAAAGATGTGAACTCAATGACCATTGCCCCAGTCTCAATCAGATTTGCATGCCTTAGGATTGCAGGAATGGCAATGCTTCCAACAGCAGATGCTCCAGTTAGAAACTTGGCAGCATCTATCCAACTGCGAGAAAATAGCCAATTGTAAAATTAGTGGGTGATAAAACAAAGGGTATTCCATTCTGGCATATAATAACATCAAGAATTGACCCAGTCTTTTCCCTTTGCCTAATCTAAGTAAAAATATTTATAAGACCACAGAATTAGATCATGCCAATGGTGCTTAACTGCTTAATATAAACTACAACAGGTAATTTCAATACAGCCATGATTTTACATATGCAAAGCATGCATCTTTTAGATAAACTAATACAGAACTAGCCTATGTTAATTACACCCATCTTATCTTTAATAGCTATCATCTTACAGCAAACTGCGCCTTTTAATTTGTGCCATCTATGGAAGTAGAGAAAAGTTGTTACTTCACATACCATGGCAAGCAACATTTTTTTACTTGTCTCTATTATAGATTTACTGATAGTTGAAACGTGCAAGAAAATGGACAGACATCCACGGTTGTCCAAAAAGCTTACCCTCCACCATCCCTGCTGGTTAGGAAATGAGTAGAACCACCTCCAAAGAATAAACATGGCATAGGAACAAGCACATACATCAAAGCTGCAAAAACAATAGAAACCATACATAAAATTCAAACTGCTATGAATTTAAACCAGGGGCACATAAATAGGTGCAAATAAAATCAAAACCAGCAAGTGGTATCTAAAACTCACTCGTTATCATTGGCCACCAGTTGTTATATACCACACAAGCCTGCCATTAAAATAAAGTAGGAAGAGGTCAAATAAATTCTGACTAATGGAATGTAAAGAAATAATCTTATTATATTCCTTTTTTTACAGTTTCGCAACACATGCAATTTAGCTGAAGTAGTCTGGGTGAAACTTTTGCCACCTACCAGAATTATAAAAAATACGAATGATGAAAATCAGTGGATTTTGAAAGAAGAAGAAGCTTTGAAGCAGTGCTGGATACCAAGATTTGACAGAGAACTAATCTCCCAAATTTGGTTGTATTCACGTAGGTTAAGAATAAAAGGACTATCAAATAATGTCTAGCAGAGCATCCAACTTATTAGATTAAAAGATTACACGCACTAACCTTCTGTATATGACTTACAGTTCTTGCGTTTCAGCTCTTTACATTCATGAGAAAATAAGAAATTACTAGTCTCACGAATGATTTAGAAAGTATGAACTCTTAACTGCACAAGCATTATTTGATTAAAGACAAAAAGTTGAAATGATATGTGAGAGTAATTCTATACACAGTCATTCAAACTTAGTTTTTACATTTTTCCACCTACCAGAATTGTTGGGATCTCCACCCAAATAGGTTCGGACTATATCATGGGTACAATATAGAGATTTCGAGTTACATAGCTCATGAACTAATTTCCTCGAGACTGGTACTCTTTAGGTATACCATAAATAGTAGATTAGTAACACCCCACCACTACTTGAATTTTATATTTTGCATTGTTTGAGTGCCTATAAATTGGGCCCATTCAAATAACAGAGTTTCAGTGATTAAACATTACCCTAAAATTTCACGTGTGTCCACACTATTATCTCATATAATGTAAAGAAAAAAAGTGCAATGTGTATCTCAAACATGATAATACTCTACATAGCACTCCTACAATGACATCATGCGCAGAACGCTTAATAAGACTAGTAACAACATTTGTAATAACTTGTTTAGTGCTATTCATAGCATAAATAAAATTGTCAGTTGCTATTGTTTTCTAAGTTATGATGTGTTTGAGAAAGTTTTTCGGTTCTTACGTGTCTAAGAACCAGCCAAAGTGAGTTCATAAATTCTGGCTTGTGGCTAAGACAAGTAGCTGCCATACGTATTTGCAGATTGTTAAACTGTAATATCTAAGGCATAATAAAAATACTCCCACTGTCCCATAAACTATAATATCTCAGGCATAATAAAATACTCCCACCGTCCCATTTATATAGGCTACTTTGTTTTTTTTGTCCCAAAATACAGCCCACTTTACCATTTTCAAAGTGATAGGGTGTTAAAGTTTACTAATATACCCTTATTTATTTTGCATGTTTTATCAACAAAATAAAACCCTACTCAAACTTTCTAGGTTTGAATATTTTCAAAAACTTAATTTCTTTTGCATTTTCTTTTGCTTTATAATCTCTACCCCTCCAAATTTCTACTCCAAGAAACTACTACTCTCAACAAATCTTACAATCTACCATTGATGAATACAAAAACCTTGAGGAAGATTTGAAAAAATGGTTGGTAAATAAGTGGCCTAAAAGACATGTTTCAAAAAAAAAGGTGACGCGTAAACACTCCACCAAAGAATGATGGTTTTATATCGGAATCTCAAGAAAAACAATTCGTTGTTTCTCAAATGTTAAAAATTGTTCTACCCAATTTCGATTAATGTAATCTTTTTTTCTTTTTCATTTCTTTTCTTTTCCATTCTCTATTGTGTTTGTTTATTTATTTGCTAGCTTTTTCTGTATAAAATAGTCAAAAATCAAAAGTTGTATATAAAATGGCCATTAGACGGTATTTATGCAACTTTTGATAATAATGCAAGCCTTAATTTTGCATAATCTAATGGCCACTTTATATGCAACTTTCGATTTTTGATCATTTTATATATAAAAAAAAAAAAGCT